CAAACTAGCTAAAGTTGCAAAAGGCTAGCTAGAATTAATGTTAAAATAGCAAAATGTTTGCTAAAAGCTAAATGTTGCAAAATGAAGCCTTTAAGTAGCAAAACACTAACTAAAATCTAAATGTAACAGAATGGAAAATAAAATTTGCTAACACTAGCTAAAAACTAAAGTAGCAAAGTGTTTGCTAAAAGCTAAATGTAAAAGGAACAATGCAATAACTAAAAACTAAAAGTAGCAACAAAGCAAGACTAGCTAACAACAGCAACACGTTAGCTGAATCCACAAAATAAAAGGTTACGTAAACATAGCAAAAAAAATTGTTGCAAAAGGTTAGCTAAAATTAGCAAAAGCCAGCTAAATGATAAAGTAGCAAAGGCTTTGCTAAAAGCTAATTGTTGCAAAATGCTAACTAAAAGTAACAAAACACTAAAAACAGCAACAGAGCAAGTAGCTAACAACAGCAAAAGGTTAGATGAAGCTACAAAATAGCTAAAGGTTAACTAAAAGTAGCAAAAATACTAGCTAAAAGTAGCAAAACAATGACTAAAATATTAAAGTAGCAGAATGGCAGAGCAAAGAGACAAGCTAAAAGAAGCAAAAGGTTAGATGCAGCTACAAAATAGCTAAAGGTTAGCTAAAAGTAGCAAAAATACTAGCTAAAAGTAGCAAAACAATGACTAAAATATTAAAGTAGCAGAATGGCAGAGCAAAGAGACAAGCTAAAAGAAGCAAAAGGTTAGATGAATAACCAATAATACCAAAACGTTAACAAACAGAAGCAAAAAAAAAACCTGGTTTACGTTGGAGTAAATTAAAAACAAAACATCTGACTTTTAAAAAACTTTATATGATTTAAAGTGAAAACTCACTGAGGCGTTTCAGGGCTTCCACCGTGATCTCCGGGTCTCCGCACACTTTCTTCTCCACTTCCTGCCACGTGAGAAGGTCCAGAACCGCCTGGGGGACCACCTTCAGCAGCCCTGCCTGCATGGCTGCGATCTGCGGCGCACAGAATCAACACATGAATAAAAACCAGACGTGAGCTTCATCGCTGAAGAAAACAAGACCTCGCCTGCTGCCTGCTCTCCTCCAGACGAGCCTTCTCCACCAGGCCGATGAACTCTTTCCGGTCCTCGTATCGAACGGACACGTTGCTGCCTCCGGGGACCAGCTCCACCACCTGACCGCCGGTCAGCGGGGTCGTGTAGACCAGCTCGTCCCCGAACCGGAACTCGAAGGTCTCCTTATCCATGTTCTCCATGGTGTCCAGCAAGTTCACCTGAGCCCAGATTAACAGATCCAGACAATGAAAAACTAACAGAAAACAGCAACGTGGGTTTTTAAAATATCACAAAACGCTTCGAAATTTAGTGATGTTCAGGTGGAAGAAAGTGGTCCTGGTAAACGTTTTATTGTAGGACTTAAATGATGAAAAACAACGCAGAGCTTCTGTAAATTAGAATTTAAAGTCAAATTGATGCCATAATAAAAAGTAAATGTTTCGTTACTGTAGAGAGAAGATGAAGGTGGTTTAAAATGTTCTCACCAGAACCGAGTCCACCGCCGGGAAGTCTTTGCTCCAGCTGATGGCCTCTCCGGTCAGCTGCTTCCAGACCAGCCCGGGCAGCGCCAAAACCTACAAGACCCACACACAGAAATGTAAAACAAAGAACTAAAACTCTGAACCAAATGAAATATAAGTTAGGAGAGAAAATGTTAAAGCTGTGTCTTCATGTAATCTCTGTAATTCTTAGAGACTTGTTTATAAACAGATTAAATGAGTTTGTATTGTTCAGATTTGATTATTATACTTGTTAAATCCTACAAAACATAAACCTTTATTAAAATTATTCTGTAAACATTTAAATAAAGCAGAATAACCATTCAAATGCATAACTTATTACTGATATCAAGAGGTGGGCACAGMTAGCCAAAAGGTTAGCTTCATTAACCACTACTCAACCTGCGCTAACGCTAATCCGCTTAACAGATTAAAAAAAAATGTTGAAGCTAACGCTAACTGCTAACCACTAAGACTTTGACAATAACAAGTAAGACATTGTTAGTTTTTTATTGGTTTAATTTGATRTTAGGTGAGATCATCTGTGATACTTCCTGTTTAACCCCCCTTTCAGAATAAAGCATTTCTTTGATCAGGTTTGTATTTTGTAAATAAAGTTTTAAGTTAGTCAAATAGTAAAAGCTTTCTCTACCATATTTTAAACTGCATTTGTTATGTAAATAATGTTTTATGTTATTTTATTTCTTTTTGACGCTCTTATTTTGAAGTTTAAGATGCTACATGCTACCAACACGGCGCCTGACACGYCCAGCTCTGCTTGTAGGAGAGGATAGTTTTTATTTATTTTTGGGATAAACAGCATAAAAATAGTGGACTTAAAATGATCAGAACTTAATTTGGCGGAAGATAATCGGTTTCCTAAGTTAGCAAAAAGGCTAATCCATTAAATAAGTAGCTAGTTCCACGATTAACAGATTAGAGGAATTGTTCCCACTACGATTAAAACCATTAAATTAAAAAGCTGTTTTAAAGGCTTTAAAAGTCCCAGGAAAAAAAAACTTTATTTTTTATTATTTTTACTGTCCTCCTCGTTTTGTGCTTCTAAACATTCTGTTGCACCTTTTCAACCTTAAATTATAAAAACTGAGATATTTTTAATCTAAAATGCTCCAGAAATGTTTCTATTTGTTCTTCTAAAGACGAGTCACAAACCAAGAAGTCTTTTCCCCTGAGAGCAGCTCCCATGAGTTGACCTATCCACTCGTACTTGTGGAAGTCCTTGCAGGACGGGTTGGGGACGTAGTAGTCTTTGGCCTCTAAGGTGCCCTGGAGGRACGAGCAGAAGACAGTTTTAGAGAAGCCAGAACCGGTCCGGTCCAGACGACGCGCGGCTCGTGAGGAGGGAGGGCCCACCTGGTTGGAGGTCCGGGTGAAGAACGGCAGAGGCAGGGGGCACTCGGCTGAGCTGGGGCAGAGCTCCTCCGACATGTCCGCCAGGCTGTCCCTGAACCCGCCCCCCTGGTCGATGATCCCCTCGGCGATGAACTTACACTCCCACCACTGATCGTATCGAGCGGGCCATCTGAGACGGATTACACCGAGTTATAATCTGACGCACGATAACTCGTCTGGGAGCGAGAAGACACACCTGTAATCCAACGTCTTTTCTAATTTATCAGACGGCTTGAGACCCTCGTACACCTGCAGGAGAAAAAGACGAGACGGGTGAGACGACGACATGACCTGAAGTGCTTCCTGTCTGACTCGGCACTACCTGGTTGAACACGGTGTTCTTGCAGCTGGAGTCCAGAGAGGGATTATCTCTGTGCTCCATGGCCAGGCGGCGGTTGATGTAGAGTCGAGGCATGAAGTTGGGCTTGCTGGTCTCTGAGTCCTTCAGGCACTGAGAGATGAGGGCGGAGCGGCGTTTGGACAGCAGCAGGAACTGTTTGATGTTCTGAGGGCCACAAACAAACACATWCAGGACTAATGAGTTTCACTAACTGGATCAAATCTTTATACTTTTAGCTTTGATAATACTGCTCTGCTAGATTTAATTTATAGCTACAATCCTGGTATTTTTAGCTTTTTGTATTTAGCTATCGTTTAGATACTTTGGCTTTTATCTAGCCTTTTGATACTTTTAGGTTTCAACRAGACTTTTGCTTCTTTTACCTGACATTTTGCTACTTTTGGCTTTTAGCACAGTTCTATTTTAGCTTTTTGCTACAATTATTTTAGTTTTACCCTTTTTAGCTTTTTCCTACAAAATATAATTTTTAGCTTTTTCCTACAATATATAATTTTTAGCTTTTTGCTAAAATTCTACTTTTACATTTTAGCTATAATTTAGGTATTTTGGTTTTAAGCTAGCGTTTCCGCTACTTTTAGGCTTCAGCTACTCTATTGCTTCATTTACCTGATGTTTAGTTACTTTTAGCTCCTTTAGTAGAGCTCTTGTTTTCTACAATATATTATTTTTAGCTTTTTGCTATAACTCTACTTTTACATTTTAGCTATACTTTGCCTTTAAGCTAGTCTTTTGCTACTTTTACTAGATATTTTGTAACGTTTAGCTAGCTTTCACTTTAACTATTGTTCTGGTACTTTTAGTTCTTAGCTACAGTTAAGTTATTTTTAGCTTTATGCTCTGTTACTTTTACTTTTCAGCTTTATTGTTAGTACTTTGGCTTTAAGCTAACATTTTACTACTTTTACCTGATGTTTTGGTACTTTTGCATTCAACTACTGTTTTGCTACTTTTAATTTTTAGCTGCCATTTTGATACTTTTAGCCTTTTTGTACAGTTCTGCTAGTATTAATTCTTAAGAAATCCTGAAATTTTTAGCTTTTTGCTATAATTCTGCTACTTTTAAGCTACAGTTTAGATACTTTGGCTTTTAGCTAGCCATTTGCTACTTTTAGCTTTTCTAGTACAGTTCTGCTCTTATCAGTTCTTAGCCAAAATCCTGTTATTTTTAAATTTAAGCTATATTTCTGCTACTTTTACTTTTTTATAGAACTTCAACTTTTATTTATTTTTTTACAGAGAAATTACACAGCTRTACATCAGCAATGATTAACAGAAGTGTTGACAGTATGAAGTTTTCATAGATTAAACATCTCAGCATGATATCTTATAATTTCAGCATCACAGTTGCGGTCTCAGCATCTTCATACATTCCTAAAAATAAGGATCCACTTTGGATAATGGAGCTAGGCACCTTAAATCAAGAGCTTAGTTTGCTGGGTTTAGTTACATGAATAGGGCTTCTGCTGGACCCCAGCGTGGTCTAAAGGTAGCTTCTTCAAGTGTTAACAAGTATGTTATTTTTTCCATTTGGTACAATTCCCTTTTAAACCCAGGAGTCATAGGAAGGTGGATCTAATTGCATCCATTTAATTGTAATGCATTTCAAGGCTGCTGTAAAAAGAACATTTAAAAGATGAGATTTGGGTCGTCCTTGCAGGCCAGCTGGAATAATACCAAGTAATGCAACCATTACATCATTTGGTATAACCTCCTGAAATATCCTGAAATATCTGGTTTATAGCCTTCTACATTTACTTTTTAGCTATAGTTTAGATACTTTGGCTTTTTGTTAGCCTTTTGCTACTTTTATGTTTCAGCTAGTCTTTTTTTTTTTGCTTGTTGACTCGTCAATCTCTTTCACTTCTCCTCCAGGTCGAGTCCACTCACTTTGATGTGGTTGAAGGTCCCCAGGCTGTGGTCCCAGGCCGGCACCAGGTGTGGCAGCACGCTGTCCAGGAGACTGATGAACCTGCAGGTGGAAGACAAACACGACCGTGAACCAGGAGGAAACATTTGAAACAAAGACTCGACCTCTGCGAGCGAGACACGCCCACCTCTGGATGACCAGCGCTCGGCGGTACAGGGCGTCAGGCGGCGTGCCCTGCAGACGCGGGTAACGAACCAGGTTAGAGGACTGGAAAACATCGGCGTTCAGTCCCAGGTCTCGCTCACACGACGACTTGATCTTTAAACCTCGAATCCGGACGTCTATCCCCTCATCTATAAAGACCAACGAGGAGGAAAACATCGTTTAGGAATCCTCTGAGAGATGACTGACCCCCAACAGAAACAACCACTGACCTCTACATTCTTCAATTCTGATTTCAATCACAGGCAGGTGAGACGACATGTCCTCCAGGACGCACACCTCTCCAATCAGATTACTGAAAAGAAACAAGAAAACATAAAATACACAAAACACGAGTTGATCTGTTTTAATATGCAGTGATGAGGAAGTTRGTGAGAGCAGCAGACATAACAAGCCTGATCTTTTCCAGTTTAAACAGGAACAATAGATACTAATAGYATTAACAGTAAAAATGGAGCTCACTCGTCTATGGTGACGTCACTCAGCTTCTTCAGGTTGTCTCCTTCTCCCCCGTAAACCGTCACTCTCTTCGGCATGTAGTTATCGTCCGTCGAGTCCACGGTCAGAATCAGCTTACTGGTGGAGATCAACAGGCTCGTTACAAACAACAAAACATCTTTCCAAAGGGAAACAAAATAAAGCAGAGATGGCCAACTGGTGGCCCGTGGGCCACATACGGCCAACCAATGAGGGCACCCCCTCACCTAAAAAAAATTATATATATTTTTTAATCCATTTGAATGTAAATACAGTATATTCACAGTATATACA